TTGCAGGATACAAAATGGCAAACAACAAGAACAAATGCACTCCTTACACACAACTGATTTATTAAATAACCTAGTTTTGTGTCTGGAAGGAGCTGGCTGAGCTTGTTTCAATCCGATACAGCTCCAGAGCTGCAGTTAACACACAACACACCATCAGCTGGTTCACATGCATCACAGTCATCCTGCAGGCCCGGCACAGAGCAGGAAGCCAGCCACCAGTTCTAGGTTAGATTTCAGGTTTCATTATTAGTAAGAGTTTTTATTTGTGTAGGACCTTTCAAAAGTGATATCACAAGGCATCCATCCATCCATTATCTATACACCGTTTAACCCTCACTCGGGTCATGGGGGGCTGGAGTCTATCCCAGCTGACTCAGGGTGAAGGCAGGGGACACCCTGGACAGGTCACCAGTCTATCACAGGGCTACACTTAGAGACAGACAACCAAGCACACTCACATTCACACTTTCTGAACAATTTAGAATCACCAGTTGACCTCAATGTGTCTTTGGACTGTGGGAGGAATCCGGAGAACCTGGAGAGAACCCACGCTGCACGGGGAGAACATGGAGACTCCACACAGTCCGGGAGCGAACTGGGGATCTTCTAGCTGCGACTACTGTATCAGTAAAATAGAGAGATCTGGTTGTTTGAAACTGACAGATCTGCTCTGCATGAAAAAGCAATTAAAATGACAAATCCCGTTATCAGTAATATTTGCTGAGACGTGTGCAGTGATTTTGCTTTTATTTTGAAGGCCTGGGTGCTGCTCTGCCTGTTTCGTGGTGCGTCTTGACGCAGCGGGTGGCTGCTGGTGCGTCAGGAGGAGGCAGACACAGAGATGCCATAACAGCAGCAGCAGCAGCAGCAGCGACCGTCACAAGCAGCGAACCGATCCGCCTCCTGTCGGTCCGGGTCCGGCTCTGCGGAACGCCTCTCATGCTCTGTCCGCCCCGCAGCGCGTCAGTCCGGGATTCAATCGGCGGAGAGCAGCGGAGGAGGCAGCATCTGGAGCGGAGGTAAGAGGAGGAGGAGGAGGAGGACAGGGCGTGGAGGAGGGGAGCAGGGACCGGACTGTCTGTCTGTCTGTCCGTCCGTCCTCCTGTCTCTGTCTGTCTGTCTGTCCGCCTGTCTTACTGTCTGTGTGCACCGGCTCCTCTGCTCGACTGCAGGCCGGAGCGGCTCCTCCTGTCCGGCCTGCAGCCGCGGATGAAGCGCTGAGGCCCGGCGGGCTGGTCCTGATGAGCCGCTACGGTGCTCCAGCATCCTGGTGTGTGTGTGTGTGTGTGTGTGTGTGTGTGTGTGTGTGTGTGTGTGTGTGTGTGTGTGTTGGTCGGAGGGTGCGGCCCCGTGCAGGTGAATCATGATGATGTCACAGGGGTGAACAGGTGACCCGCTCCAAGGTCGCATCCTGTCAGGTTCAGGAGGCTGATGTCACGTGGTGTATGTCTATATAGTTACTGATCAGGGAGGACATCCTACAGATCAATACACAACATGTGTATTTGCATACACTGCTGTACTGTAAATGACAGATGAGAAAACCACCATGTTTCCTGTTTCATCTATGCTTCTATTTTATATAAACGTATGGCTACACTGATTAGCTGATTAATCAGTTGATTCTTCTGGCAATCAAATAATCACATCAGTCATTTCAATTTCCGACTTTCCCACAATTTCTCAAACATGTTGCGTTTTCTTGGATGCTGCACAAATCAAACAGCTTTCATATGTCTTATCTGCCATTTAATTAGTGTTCCTGTGTCCAGTGTTTGTGGCATTTTACAGCCTAAAGTGATCATTGAATATTGGTGGAAATTATCAGCAGGTCCTGAGCTTGTACTTGTGCTTTATTCAGTTTTAGTTTATCATTTAATTAAAAAAAAACAAAATCATAGGGATTCCAGGTTATAAGTGGGTTTTCATGTATATTTTTGTTTTGTCATACTTTCAGTTCTAAATCAGTCAGATTCATCTCCATCATTAATCGTACTGGAGCCTTATACTGTCGGCAGGTTAAGCTGTATTTTACATATTTTTGGTGAATAAGTAACGGTGACTTCACTGGAGTTTATCCATGTGCATGTTATCAGTGGCATTCCTTCAACAAGTCCTCCGACCCGTTTGGCTCTCACAGGACGGAGCGTCTCCTCAGATCATAACCAAAGCTTTACCACATCACTCATGTTAGCTGTTGACTACTGACTCATCACAGTTTCATGCCGTGTGCTCCTTCACTCGCTCCTGCAGACACAACAAAAAGAATCCTCAAAATCCTGAAGTCTTCTCCGCCTGCAGGTTTCTGTGTCAGAACCAAACTGTGTCTGTGGGTAAAACACAACCTGCTGCCATTTGTGGAGGGTTACTGAGCGTCTCACATCCAGCCTCCTGGTGCTGCTGTGGTCAAAATGGATGCAGCGACATTCTGCTTTATTTCTGTTGCATCGGGTTTGTTGGAGCTGCAGGTGAGAGTTTGTGGACCAGGTTCATTGACATCAGTGTCATTCGCTGTTTTTTTTGGTTTGGTTTTTTGTTTACAAGGTGGAAATAAAGACGTCAGTTTCTTCTGCAGTTTATCAGATCTCAGGCTGACCTGCTGATGGAGACACAGAGACTGATTGTATTTCTAAAACCTCCCAGTTTCCCGTCTCTCATAAATCCAGAGGTTGTTCTGTTCGGCCTCACAGCTGTGCGGCTGCCATTGACTGAATGTGGGTATTTTAGGAGCTGAAGATGCCAAAAACAGACAGAACAAGATGTCGAAGGAACTGAATGAGATTTTATAGAGACGTGCAGCAAATCGTCTAAAATCTCCTCCATCAGAACCAGCTCAGGCTCAGCACTTGTGTGGGTTTTTAACCGTTGAAACAAGACAAAAACACGTCAAGTCATTTACCCAAGACATTAATGGCATCAATTATACAGACAACATTATGATGACACCAGAATGTAAGTGGAGCGTGTGATTCTGGGAAAAGATTGTTGCTATTAAACTAATTAGTATCTGCCAGATTTTGCGTCCCTCTCATTCCCGCTGACCTCTTTGAGCTCGGCCCGTGCATGAACGTGCACAGAACCTGGGATAGTGTTGTGTGGATTGGACCGAGCCGTTTCGTTTGTTTCCCATTGAGATCGGGACTGATCAAGACGTTCTTTATCGTATCGGTATCTACACAAACCTCAGCCAGATGTTGTTGTTGATGTTCGCTGTAACACAGGTGATATAGAGGGAGATAGGTGGTGCACATTTTGAATGATTTCCTTCAGAAATGCATCATTATCAATCAATAATTAAATAAATATGTGAGGCTGTTACGTATGACACTGGGATGTAGGAACACCGTCCTACTTGGCGTAAACACAGGAATTTTGGTTGAAGGTCATTAAGCGTTACAGAAGACTGTGTCGTTGTGGTCGGTTGCTAAACTCCCACAATGCTCTCTGCTTGGCTGCATAGAACTGCCTGTAGTCCGAGTGGCCGCTTCCTCGAGTCCCTGCAGTGTTAACCAGCACCAGGTACTACAGCTAATGTGCCATACTTATCAAGTAGAATATCAGATGGGATTGGAGGTTACTAAAAAAATTACATGACTCTGATCAGGGTCTTATATCTTGATCGGCTTGTCCCTAACTGTGTGAACACTGGATTTTTCTTCACTGTGCACACAGAACGAACAGCCAGAGGACCTGTGAGGAGATATTCACCGAATCTGACATAGAGTGTGTTGGATTAGAATCACTAATCCACCTTCAAACAGAGAGCAGGGCGCGAGTGCAAAGGATGGATTGAAGCGCTGCAGGAGCGTGTGTGCAGTGCAGGATGGACGACTGTCTTTCACCTTATGGTCCTACTTAGGTTTATATAAGGAAAAAATACAACAAACACTGAACTCTTGCTGTCTCTTTCTGTGTCCTCTCCCTTTAAGTGCATTTAATAATAACAACAATACTAACCTGTTGGATGTTCGCCAGAGATTTGTCTAAAAGGCTGAAAGCAGGTGACAAACATCTGTTTACAGCCACACCGTTTGTAAATCAGAAGCTTTTCGTGGGAAGACTCGGTTTACTTTGTCAGGAAGTGAATGTGGGTCAGTGTACTGTCCTCTGAAGTGATGGGAACGCTGTGAGTGTGTTGATGTTACCTCTGATGCTGCGTCTCTTCTTTGGATTTCTTCTCCTCTGACCTGAATTCATGAATCTGAAATGAAACTTATTAATGAAGAACAGATTCTACAACAACTCTCATCTGTGACTGAGGATTGTATCATGATTGATTAATCTTCTAATTGATTATTTTTAGTAATATTTTTACTAATTTAGTTTTACTTTTTAACGCTGGAACCAGGATTGAAATGTTTCAGGACAAACCAGGTCAGGAATAAAGGAACAGCTATATTAATTGCAGCAAAAGAAGCTGCTCAGTAAATAATAAAACATTAAAACACTCTGAATAAATCTACAGAGAGATCATTAGATATCTTCACATGGACTGTTTCAATGGAAAGCTGTCATGTCGACTTTGCATCTTGAGAATAAGAAGCACATGTTTGGATTAAAAGTTGAGTCAGTTTCAGGTTTATTCATGAATCTGCTTCCTCAGAGATTCACAGGTTTGATCCCAGTCAGCTGAATGTGCTTCATCATCCTGTGCAGCTGCAGACGCAGCAGTCGCTGCTTCAGCAAACAGAGCAGTAAACTAACACATTTAGCCGTGTCATGTTTCCTCACTGAAACAGTGTGAGTCAGTTATTATTTAGCATCAGAGATAGCAGCCATCACTCATTACAGCTGTGAAGAGTTTCTGTCATGATGTAGTTTTACTGAAGGGCTGGAAACAACTGGTTCTAAAGACTACGCCACTGTGAAGCTGCTGAAAGGAGACAAAAGCAGGGCTGGCGTCAGATGTGCCAACAGGATGTGGATCATGTTCCTCTCTGTCTCTCTTCCTGGCCTCCGTTTCCCAGGATGCTCTGGGGTTTCCCAGCAGGCCTGTGAAGATGAGTGTGACATCATGGTTCCTAGTGAGCAGCTCGGGCACTCGACACCGCCTCCCCCGAGAGATGATCTTCGTGGGTCGAGAGGACTGCGAGCTCATGCTGCAGGTGAGACTCGTGTCGACAGAAGCTTGATGTGAACAGCACAGAGACTCGATTCAGGAAAACCACGCAGCCTGGACAAAAGCTCAGAGCGCCCAGAGAAGGAAACCCATACAGGACAGACATTTATCTGACTACTGATCCCAGTCAGAGTCAGTCCCTCAGACCCACAGGGGGTCCAAATTCTGTAGGTTCTATCAGTATATGGCAGTTTAAGTGACTACAGAGTCTTTGTTTACGGTACTTCTATGTGTCCCACAAAGTAGATTTTCAACCTAAATATTGCCTTTCTTGCAGTCTGTTGCATCCTGCAGCCCTCTGTAGCAGCACCACACTGTGTTTGAAGAGTTCATTTGCAAGAACAGATAACTCCATCTTCACAAACCTTCAGAAAACCCACTTTTCCATCCTCTACCTTAGACAACATCGATCAAACTGAAGTTATCTCTATCCTTGTCATGTCATTTCTACTGAGTCAAATCCACTCAACTTCAGTTTGATTGATACTATGTCCAGCAAACAACAAAGAAATAAGTTTTCTGTAAATCTACAAAAATGGAGATGTCTGTTTTTGCAAATGAACTCTCAATTTGTTGTTAAAGAGCCCGTATCCTACACATTTGCAGGTTTATCATTTTTATTTTAAGGTCCACTAGAATATGTTTACACATTTCAATGTACAAAAGCACATTATTTTTCTCATACTGGACACTGCTGGAGCACATCTTCTCATCTTCTTTCTGAAACGCTCTGTTTGAACTCCCCTCTCTTTAAAGCCCCTCTCCTATGAAGCCCTGTCTGCTGTGATTGGTCAGCTGGCCTTACGACAGCGACGCAATGTTTAAAGGCACAAAGACGAAGCTTTAGCAGAAACAATTCTATTGAGAAAATAATGGTGCATTTCAAGGAACCAGCTCATTATTGGTCTGAGCGTTAAACTGGCCACCAGGCAGGTGTGATGCAGATGTGCTACATGGTGACGTACAGTCGCCCTCAAACGTATTCATAGCCTCCCATTAAAGAAGGAGAAAAACAGCTTCAGTCACTGGAATAAGTTGAAATTGACAAAAGTAATAATAAGTAACAATTCAATGAAAATCATGGCATTGCTTTTGAATTGTGGTTCAACAGAAATATTAAAAAAACAACAACAAAACAACAAGCAAACAAGCATGATGGAACCCGTAGACTAATATTTAGTTGAACAACCCTTTGAGCCAATCACCTCAGACGGGATGCTTCAGGCTGGACAGGAGCAGTGTTTTCTACTGGACAGAATAACCGTGTTTGCTGTGGACTTTTGGATTTGTATGTTTGCAGATCTTTTGCGTGCAGCTACAGTATGTGACTCACTAGGAACAAGCCAAAAGGCAGAATACAGGCTTTTTAAATCACAACCCTCCTCCATTTTTAAAAGGTTAATGAGCATGTTAGATGCAGTGAAGAGACCTCCTGCTTCTACTGTGACTAAAATAAATGCTGCAATGCTGTGTTAACGTACTTAAACGTATTTCTTTCTTTAGTTCTACTTGTGCAGACATTCATGTAAAATGTTAGGATATGGCTTCATTGTGCAGTCCTGCGTTGCACGATGACAAAAAAGATTAACTCCGTTGGCTGTAGCCTGTAGGATTGTGACGTGTTGTTATGGTAACAGTTAGCATTAGTGTGCTTACGGGTGGATTCCACATGACTGCTGCGACCTTCAGGATATCAAAGCACTTTAATCCGATAGCTGCAATTTGCATCAAAAATCACTCGTCCTTCCCAAAGTTCAGCCTCAGTCAGACCTGAAGTCACACACGCACGACACACGTACGTTCAGATTCAACTTAACTTCTACTAAGATGTCATTGTTTGTTGACATCCTCCAGAAATCTACGTAGAATCCAGAGTAGAAGAACCTGTGTGTTGGTGTTGATCTGAAGTTGTGTGTTTCTCTGTCGACAGTCTCGCAGCGTGGACAAACAACACGCTGTCATCAACTACAACCCGACTACCGATGAACATCTGGTGAAAGACCTGGGCAGCCTGAACGGGGTGAGACACACACACACACACACACACAGACACACACACACACACAATCACAACTTAACAATGCATTTTTACAAAACAGTTAATTGCCCTCTTTTTTTTTTGCGGTTATGCAATAAAGCAAAATGATACATACACATTTATTTTTTCACATTAACTTTCTTTCTAATTTATAATCCATTTTGTTTAAGATGAATTAAATTAGAAAGACATTTGTTTTTTAAAATCGCTAATCAAAATCAGGAATGACTAATGCAAACACTTTTAGGAAAACAAATTAATGAGTAAAACATTAGTCAATATATACACCTGATAAATATCAGTCACACTTTTTACATAATAAAGGAAAAAACTGTTTTATTTCCCATTTCTACTGATTATTATTATTATTATTATTATTATTATTATTACCGCAGACTCACTGATGGTGTTTTTTTGTCCCGTCCAGACGTTTGTGAATGACCTGCGGATTCCTGATCAGACCTACATCACCCTCAAACTGTCCGACATCATCCGCTTCGGATATGATATCCTTCAGACACACACAGTTGCTGTTTGTGTGTGTGTGTGTGTGTGTGTGTGTGTGTTTGTTTCTGATGATTTTGATATTTTTCTGAGCCGCCTTTCCACATTCTCACGTCTATGTTCTGGAGAAAAGCCAACACAAAGTCCCAGAGGAGGCTCTGAAGGTCAGTGTGTGTCCTGTTTGTTATTTTTTTGGTTTATATCTCTAATCAGTCAGTTGGTGGTGCTGCTCAGTAACTGCAGAGCGTGTCAGGCTGCATCTAGTTTGCTGTTTGAGTTTCTCACATGCCACGTTGTTGCTGTGTTAGTATGAGGTGTGAGAGAAAAGTTCCAGGACTGGTGTCACAAAAGCTATATTTAAAATCCAAACTACAAATTACAAGTTTTCCCCTTCTAAGTAATCCCCCTGGAGTCTAACACACATCCCCAGCCTACTCTGCCACGCCGCCATGCACTCCAAGGATTCTTCAAGGATCCTCTGCAGCTCCGTCGTCACAGCCATCTTGATGTCGTCCACGTCTTCTAAGCGGGTCTCCTTGATGACCCCCTTGAGCTTGGGGAAGAGGAAACAATCCCACGGAGCCAGGTGGGGTGAGTAGGGAGGTTGCTCCAGCACGGAGATGTTCTTCTCAGCCAGAACTGTGGGATGCTCAGGACGTTGTGAGCAGGTTGTGATGGTGAAGCAGCCTCCACTTGTCCTGCCACAACTCTTGCCTCTTCTTGCGCTCTGAACGAAGCAAACGCCGCAGGATCTCTTTGTAGACGTGCTGGTTGATGGTCTGAAGGGGGAACTTGTAGTTTGTAGTTTTGGTTTGAAGTATATCTTTTGTGACTCCAGTCCTGGAACTTTTCTGACACACCTCATATAATTCATCCAGCACCACAAGGAAAACATGAACCATCAGAGTTTCACTGCCCCTTTAATACATACGACATGCAGTACTGTGACTACATGCCGTGACAAAGTCCTGTTTGTTCTTTCAGCATGAGAAGTACAGCAGCCAGCTGCAGATGAGTCTGAAAGTTTCAGAGGGGAAGAAGAGTGAAACGGAGGAGCGTCCGAAAGGCGAGAAAACGCCGGGCACCAAGAGCCTGACACAGGGTACTAATACTGCAAATACTGTTGCAAATGATGCCCTTAGGGTCACTGTGGGCACGTTTGATGTCTCTGTGGTTTATGTGTGGAGACAAGCTGCTGTGTTGCTGCTGATTCTGAGGTTTTGAGTTTGTGATGACTCTCAGCTGATTTTTGTATCTGCGGTTAAGTTTTGGTTCAGCTCTGAGTTGACGGGAGACAAACAGATGGAGAACAGAGAAAATGTTGTAGAGAGAGACAGTAACATGGCTGAAATCTGCTCACACTAGCATGTACAACATGTGTCAGTTTCAGTTCATCTCCAGTGTCCAGGTTATACTGTATGTGAGACACAAAATATATTTGTGCAAAAACCTGTGGAAGCAGATCAGTAGTTTAAGTTTAATGATCTGTCTGCTCCAGAACTGCAACTATTAATTGATCACTTGTCGACTGACTAATTGCCAACTGCTTTGATAATCAATTGACTGGTTTGAATATTTTTTAAATTTAAAAAAAAGTTAAAATTCATTTGAATTTAGCTTCTTAAATGTCAAAACGTTCTGGTTTCTTTCTTCTTCTTAAAACTGCAACAGTCAATCAGCAAACTTGATTTGTACAGCAGCGTTCACAGAAGCTGATGTAGTTCAAAGTGACCAACAGACACACAGGTGGGAAATATGGAGACTGATGCACAACAAGATATGAATAAAACACCCGCAGTAAAACAAAGTGACCTGTAAAATGTAAATGAATATAAAAGTAGATTAAAAAAAATACACGAGTTTAGATTAATCACCTAAATAATAGAACAATGAAAGAAAGTAAAGGATTAGAAAACAGGTGAATTAGTAACTTTACCACATGAAGCCAGGTTGGTTTTATTTTTTATTTTCTCAGGTCAAACACACTTCAGTAGAAATGCTCACTGAGTAAAAGACGCGACTTCAAAGATAGATGCGGAAATTTATCAGTTTTAATCATTTGTTATTGCACTGAAACGGGTTCTCTGTGGCAGAGGCTCCAGTGTGTCGACCCACTCCTCTGTATGGGCAGCCCTCCTGGTGGGGAGAGGAGGATTATGGGAGCAAAGTCCAGGGCAGCGATGAGCCTCATCCAGGTAAGAATATATTTCATCATCAACAAACAGATTCTGTTTGCATAATGGCTGTTGAGTAAGGAACATGAAGCACAGATTCATGTTTCAAGTTTTAATCCAGCAGGAAACCATGTGCAGGAAACTATACTGTCCAGGTGTTTCCACCTATAACACACAAACACTCTGACTGTCAACAGTCAGGCAGGACGCTTTAATCTGCACACAACAACACATTTAAATGAAAAATGATTATCATATTATCATCATGTGATGGGACAACAGATGGAAACATGCTTTTTCTATCTGTTGCAGCAAATGAGCACTAAAATTTGAGGCTTAGTGACTCAGATTTATTAATGTTCTTCGAGATGATGTATAAATTCACTTTGTTTACATAGCAGTTACGAGCATTACATGTTAGGAAACATTTAAACGCGGTTGTTGATTGTGTTAACACTTGTCCGTACACGTGCAATTTCTGAACTTTTTGATCACACAACTTGACAAATCTATAGTGCCAACAGTGTTAAACAGTACACCTTTAAACAGATAAAAATTCAAATGTGTAGATACATTTTCAAAAGGAAAGACGACAAAACAGGAAAAAACACTAAACTAAAGAATCAAAAATGTGAAGAAAAACGGGCGTTATCAAACAGGTGTAATGTGTGCACTTATTGTTATGAATGATTCTTATTTAAAGTTCGATTGAAGTGTGAGATACATATATATAATTTTCATTTTATCAGTATAAGCAAAACTAGGATGATAAAATATATAGAATGTATGTGTAGAATACAAATATCTTGTTACCTACACCTTATTATGTTTACAGTATTCAGATGTTACATTATTTCTTCATGTGTTATTATTTGTAGCACTATTATTGTGATTATTTTGCCGTTCATAACTCCTCTCTTATTGTCAGATGTACAGAAAGATGCTTCATCTGTGGATCCAGATTTTTCTGCATCTCTGTCAGACTCCCAGCCAAAGACCGTCTTCCCTTCGTACCACCGTGAGCCGAGCTACTTTGAGATCCCCACCAAGGATTTCCAGCACCCCAAAACCTCGGGGGCGGAGCTCCACGAGATCCCCACCAAGGACACGGACACACCCCCGGCCCCACCCTCCCCTCCCACTCCGACCCCACCTGTCGTCCAGAGCCACGCCTCCTTCACCATCGAGTTCGATGACTGCATGCCCGGCAAGATCAAGATCAAAGACCACGTCACAAAGTTCTCCACCCGCCAGAGGAAGCCTCAGGCTCCCCCCAGCAAGACAGCCATCACGGCTGCACCTGCAGAGGTGATGTCAGCAGAAAGCAAAGTGGCCGATTGGCTGGTCCACAGTGATGTCAGCATGATGAGGAGACGTCCGCCGTGTGAAGACGTTTACAGCACCAAGAGTGACCTTGCAATGAACATCAAGACCCTCAAAGGTGAGAGTCATCCCTAGTAGCCAGTCACATTAAAGAACCATATTGGAGTGGGGAGCAATCGTCCATCACAGTCCGTGTTGATGTTTATTCACATTTCCTTTATGGTGGTGGTGCTTAGTGTTTGCAGTTCCAAAGTCACCAACTTAAAACCTTCTGTAGCTGTTTGTGATTCTCAGACAATGAATCTCAATGACTTTTTGACCACCACAGACCTTCTGTGTAGCACCACTTGCATGTCCAGAAATGTCAATTCTTTACAAGAAATGTTTAAACCTAAAGGAAACATTTCTAAAAAATGTTGTGATATCATTCCTGCTCTGCAGATAATGAACCCATTAAAGTTGATAAAAAGAAAACAAATCCTCAATTAATATTTCACTTGTAATTGTCATTACAAACGGGCTGTTTGAGGCTTTCTAAATCCTCATGTTTTTGTTTTCGACCCAGCAGCTCTGCACCTCATAACAACTTAGGATGATCACATAAAAATTCTATTAAGTGCTCTGAGCTAAAGGCTGCTCAGAGCTACAGGCTGATTGCTGCTAAATTGCATAGGATATAATATAAACAGATACAAACAAGCACAGGTTTGATGCCTCTCTCCCTGTTGCCAGGTCACCATCATGAGGATGGAACCCAGAGTGACTCAGAGGATCCGGTTCTCAAAGGGAGAAGTAAATCCCACCACTCTGTCCACTCCCACACCTCCATCCAGTCCGAGCAGTCTGAGGCATCCCAGCAGGCCGTCCAATCAGGTCAGCCTGTCCACTCTCAGCTGCCTGCTCCAACACAGAAGCTCCACCAGCCGCTGCAGTACTCTCCCCCCAGACAGGCCCCAGCCTCACCTGTGGCCCCCGAGCGGCCCCTGTCCCAGAGCCCTCCTCAGGCTCCATCCCCCACAGAAGCACCCAAACAGGGGCCCCCCGAGCACCTCACCCAGCAGGCCTTCATCATTGAGTTCTTCGATGACAACCCGCGCAAGAAGCGCTCGCAGTCCTTCACGCACAACCCTGCTCATGCTGACTCATACTCCGCCCTCAAGGCCAAGCTGGAGCGTCGGAAAGGTGGCGAGAGGCCGGCTTCTGTGCACGGTCACATCCCTCCCACCCAGCAGGTGACGGTCCCTCTGAAGGGTCAAGGCCACAGTGGGCCCCAGAGGTCGAGCTCTCTGAAAAGGGAGAAGACGGAGGGAGAAGTGGCTTCGTCAAGTTCCTCCTCACGCTCCTCGTCGGGCATTGTCATCAGACCTTTTGGCAGTGTTGGGAAGAAGTCGAAGCTCGCCCAGGAGTTTGCTGCGGAATTTCTGAAAGATTCGGGTCATAAGGACTCCTCCCCAACCAGGGAAAAGACATCACCTCCACCGATGTCGGCACCGCCGGTCATGATGTCGCCTCATCATGCAAGGATTCCTTCACCTCAAGAGCCTCCAGCACCTTCTTCAGTCTCCTACCCCTCCTCCCCCTTACAGCCCTCAGCAATCTCAAAGTCCTCCATCCCAACCAACATTCCCAGTCAGACTGCTTCTCCAGTCCATCCGTCAGATCCTACCATGTCCCCTATGCTGGCCCTGGGCATCCGTGGAGGAGACCCCAAAGGTTCCCCAAGGATGATAAGGAACGAGGAGGATGACAGTCTGAGTGATGCTGGGACCTACACCATCGAGACGGAGTCGCAGGACAAAGAGGTGGAGGAGGCTCGCAACATGATTGATCAGGTGAACTCACAGTGACCTTGAAGTGATAGGGATTTAGCTTTACAGATTACTGTGTCAGGTGGCATTCACGGTTTCTACTGTTGGTGGAAAATATGCCTTTTATAGTCCTGAGTGGTGGAAGGCATAGAAACAGCTTCATGAATTATTCCTCAGGTCAGTGACACTGTTTCCAAAAATAGAAAACTATTTAAGTGAAATAGCGGTTGGTCAATAATTTAGTAATGGTTGCTTTAATTGAGATAAATTACGGATTACTTTCCCTGTCAGAAATTGATTTTTTCCATGTGTTGAGGTGAAACTGTTATTGTTCTGTTGCAGTAAGTGTGACATGTAGCTACTTGGTTTGCATGGGCCCCTTACTGCTGCAGATAGTCAGCTAACATAAGTAACAGGCAAACACAAACGTTACTTCAAAGTTTCTTTGTAGGGTTGATGGTATAGGGAACATAAAAGGCCTGATGTGTTGATTTATTTAGTCTCCTCTGTCTGTCCTGATGACCTCCCCCTCGCTGCCTCTCCTTTACTGAATTGTCCACTTTGCAATAAGATTATCATAAAAAATGTCCGCATTGCGGAAGAGATCAGAGACTCTTGCTTTATAGTGACAAAATTCTGTATGAACTAAAGCTATCTTCGTATGAAACCTGCTTATATAAACTGTGTGTCTTAATTGGCCTTAGGGATGCATGAAACCTCTTGTCCTTGTTGCTCCTTCCTGTTGCCGTGGTCCTGCCCCCATCCTCATGCATGCCCTGTGCTCTGACAGGTGTTTGGTGTCCTCGACTCTCCAGAGTACAGTGGTGTGAACACAGGAGTGTATAGACCTGTAATAAATGATGGCAAGGATGAGCAAGCTAACCTGCCTAGCGATGGTAGCACTGTGGACCCCTTGCATGGCTTTATCCCAGCTGCTATCAGCGGCCCACCAACAGGCCCCATACAGGTAAAAACATCTGGAAAACTGAATCAGAACCTGGAAAAACACCTGTGTAGCATGCTCTAAACCCACCGCATGCAGACGGGTGTTGTTATTCCCTGTTTCTCCTGTTACACACAGTCTCTGTTGGACCCTTTGTTCCCACATTTCTATTGTTTGGTTTTATTTCCTAGGTTCCAGCTGCAGCAAGTCTGGAAGGACCTAAGTGGGTTTCCCGTTGGGCGAGTCTAGCAGACAGCTATGGCGAACCTGGTTCCACCCCACCTCAAGGGGAATGTCTAGAAGGTGCTGTTAATATTCTGTCTGCAGTTTGTCAGAAAATAACTTCAGCATGATGTGTGAAGGAATGGGTATCAAACATTTACACTTTTCCTCTCAGTGTGTAAATTAAATCTGTATCTGATCACTGTTTTCATAGTCCTGCACCTCTACCCTCTGGTAATCATAAGTGTCTCCATTTATCTGCATAGTAGTCTTAGCACTTGATGTGGTTCTGAGTTTTTTATGATTAATTTGTGCCTGTAAGTGAAGAAAAAGCAAAAAGATACACAGATCAAATCATGTGAATCTTTGGTTTAAGAACAGAAAACACACACATAAATTATCGTTTTATAAATTATTGTTTTCTTCAAAACAAAAAAATTAAGTGATAGGCAGTGAAAGAACAAAAATTTGAAAAATCTGAAATTGTTTTTATAGATTTGCGGTTCATGAGCCGGTCGATGGGAGGCTACAGCTATGACAACTCAGAGTCAGAATCAAGCCACAGCTCAAGGACAAGAAGGCTGCTGCCCCAGGTGCCTCCAGAGAAGCTGGATAGTGTTGCCCCGAGCATCCTTATTCGCCATGAATCTTACCAAGGCCAGGAACCTCTGGACAGAGTCTCTGGTCCTCCTCGCCCACAGGACTCCACCCAGCGCCTGTCAGTTCAGGATGACGTGGACCCAGACAGCCTGAGTGATGCCAGTCGCTCAGATGACACACCTGTTCTGGAGAAAACAAAGAAGAGTCAGGCCAGGACCGGAGCTACGTCTCCAGGGGCCGCTGTTCCTCAGTTTAAAGGTCCAGAGAAAGTGTCTCCATCCACCAAATCCACCTCCTTCTACATTGGTTCTGGAGACCATCCAGGTAAACCTGATCCGGCCCGGAGCCCAGTACAGTCTGAGAGGACACGAGAACCCCCGGCTAAAACTCCCCCTACCACTGTCCTGATCCGACACCTGAGTGGACATGAACCCAAGAGGACAGGTGTCAAACCCAACAGCTCCGCTCCAAATCTGCAAACACAGGACAAGGATTCTGTCCCCACTAAAGACGGCTGCATGTCGTCCTTTGTCCGGCAGGAGAGTTTCACCAAAGACCGGCCCAGTGATACTGTCCAGATGAAGAAGCTTCCCCACATCTCCAGCCACCCGTCCATTAGAGACATGGAGCAGAGGAGAGAGAACATGCAGGACATGCAGCCCTTCCTCCAGGAGGCTGAGGGAACTCTGTCCTCTCTGGACACCAAGTTCCCGTCCTCCGGTTCCGGTCGCAGCTCAAAGAAGGGGGGCTCCTCCAGTCATATGGATGACTCCCTGTCTGGTGAGTCGGATGTGGACACAGCGAGCACTGTGAGTCAGGTGAGTAGCAAAAACGCTCCAGTCAGCACCACATCTAAAAAGCGCCCTGCCATCAGCAGCCTTCAGAAGGAGAAGTCCTCTTCCAGCCCATCCATCCAAGAAAAAGGACGACAACTCAGCGCCCGCGAACGGCTTTCTGAGAAACGCCGGAGCCAGGTGACTACTGATACATCAAGCAAGGCAGAGGCAGCAAAGCGTTTCCAGATGCGCCGCAGTGCGGGCAACCGTGGCTCTCTGGATCTGTCTGAAGGCCAGCAGGGTTCTGGTCCACACTGGACTGAAACAACATCATCGGATCATGAAACTTCCCGTCCATCCAGCCGCAGCAAGAAAATCATCGCCCCTCTTCAGAAAGAAGACAATGGAAAGACACCCAAGACAGCGACTCAGCAGGTTCTGACACGATCCAACAGCCTGTCAGCCCCACGGCCAACCCGGGCGTCAATGCTTCGTCGAGCGCGCCTGGGCGAGGCCTCAGATAATGAAGGTGCTGAGACTGACCGGGGCTCCCAGAACTCTGACCATATCGCTGCACCTGCTAAAGTGTCCTCCGAGGGGAAGAAGCTGTCCAGGCTGGACATCTTAGCGATGCCCAGAAAGAGGACTGGCTCCTTCACGGCTCCCAGTGACAATGAGACGTCCTCTACAGGCCGGCCTGGTTTCTCCAATCGGAACTCTGAAACTGTTGTCACCACCAGGAAGACATCAGTGGGCGATGCCCGGCAGGCTGCTAGTAGAGGCAGCGGAGCTCCAGGGAAGCAACCACTGACCCGTACCCGGTCCAGTGGAGCCAAGTACCCAAGCACAGGTGAGTCCTGTGTTTTCAGTTGTTTATTTTCTCCCTTAATTTTCTCCTGCTTCTGGTCTTCAGTATGTGGTAGTCAAGGTTGTCTTGTTGTGAGGATTCCTGACATCTATTTGTCGATGATCTAGGATGAACAACAGGGTGGATTTTACTGTCACCAAGATACCTTGCCTTCTCCAAGAGAATTTCGTAAAATTGTTGTATGCTTTAATCAGTCGGTCAGATGTAATCAAATCACCTGACTGCAAACGTGAGGGAAACTCCAAATCTAAACAAGCATGACGACACTGTGGGGTTAAATAAACACTTACACTAGCTAAATATTGCTTATTTCATTTAGTAATGCAGATTTCAAATTATCCAGATGGAGTTCACAATTTGCCAGAGCTGCCGTCTTGATGCAAACAGCAACAACAACAGCAGTCGGTTTGCGGAACCTCCTGCATTTGTTTTTCAGGGCATCAGGCTGAGTTTGTTTTTATCATTTTAACATCATAGGGACAACACAAATAAGGTTAAACAAAATTATGGGTTTATCAAGGATGTACCTCTGTGTTTTTTTCCAGCTTATCACTAATGCAGCGTTTTAAAACATTTGCTCTCCAGACATCACAGCTACTGTGGCTTTGCTGCCTCGTCTCTGCATTACACGTGTCTGGTATTAATGTGCATCAAATGAGACAACTCTGGTTCACCCTATTTGTGTATGTTGCACTTTCCTATGAGAAGTATATACCTCCTTTCCTACAAAACCTCTTTTTCTTGAACAAAATAAGCTGCTGTTGAGAAGCTGTACAAGAACTACAGACACACAGTCTACCTACAGAAATGATGATTTCAATCAGGCCCATGTGATCAAAGAATAAGTCAACAAGATAATCTGACCAAACAGATAAATCCGCAAGGCACACATTTGACAGATCAAAATGTAATGAGCTTTGATACCCAGATATTACTGAATTAGGGTGGTAAATGACTCTCTCCCACTGACAGCAGCACAGCTGAACACAGATTTGTGAAGTGTTTATATACATTAGAGGTTTGTGTAAACCGGCTTTGTTTTAGCTTTCTGTTGGGAACATCTGCCCTTTTACTATCCTTGTGGATCACATTAGACTTCTGTCCCTGGCGAGTTGCTGCTGTCGAGCCATTGGAGTCTGTTTCTGTTGCCATGGAAACACAGCTTCCCTGCATCAGTCTCCTCAGTCATGTTCAGGAATTAGGATGTGGCTGTGCTTTGGTGTATAAATCCAGTTCCTGGCTGAAACTAAGAACAAATGCCAAAGCAATCCAGTGATACTGTGGATTCATTGCAGTGAGTTTGTTGGTGCACTGACCAGCCATGAGCCTCAGTGACTGTTGCTATGCAGACACAATCTGGTATCACATTCAATACGATGCAGTTTAATTCAGCTGCTGAATTCATCCAAGAGTGATACGAAGTCCCAAAGTGTGATTGAAATGTGTGAATGTATCCAACACATTCTACTTCATCTGTTTTCAGCTGCACGGCAACAGCGTCTAAAGCTCCCTGATTGGATGTTTATTAAAGCAATGCTCTCTGGGAGTTGTAGGTGATTGGACAGACAGCCAGTCTATCACAGGGCTACACTTAGAGACAGACAACCAAGCACACTCACACTCACACCTACAGACAATTTAGAATCACCAATTGACCTCAACATGTTGTGGGATGCGGTCGGAGAACCCAGTGAGAACCCACGCTGCACATTGAGAACATACAGACTCCTCACAGTAAGACCACAGGCTGGTACGTGAACCCAGGAGGTGTGAGGCGGCAGTACTAATCGCTGCAGTTCTGGATGATAACATTAATCTATATTGAAATATTGACAGGTTCCCGTCGCAGACAGAAGGGTTCGGACTTCTCCTCTTCTTCTGAGGAAGAATACGAGACAGCTGCCGGTACTTCTAAAGCGAAACGCTCCTCCCATCCATCCACGTCCGCCCAGACGCCACGCAGCCATCGGACAGCCGCCACCAGAACCAAGTCTGTCTCCCTGGAGACGGAGGAGGACGAGGACCAGAATGACATTGACCCTTACCAGAACTGGTCCACGCACAGTGCCGAGATTGCTAAGTAAAAACACAATGAAATATTCATCCATGCCTTTCATCTTGGCTGTTCGGTAGTCATTGTCTGGGCCATGGTGATGCTACTCAGACCCCCATGTTTGCTTGTGTTTCCCCCACAGGCTCAGTCAGGATCTGGCTAAAGACTTGGCAATCCTGGCGAAAGAAATCCATGATGTTGCAGGGGATGGCGACTCACCAAGCTCCGGCATGGGCACCACCACATCACCCAGCTCACTGCCCAACACGCCGGCCTCCACCATCTCTGCCAGGGAGGAGGTGGGCCATGACCATTCCTCATCCCGCCATGACCACCATACATACATCAGCTTCTAAAACTGGGAACACACAACATTTTTAAACTTGATAATTGTAGTCCACTCTCCAGTAGGGGCCAGTCTGTGAAACACCAAAGATGGTTGGTGTCATGCGATAGTGTGTCAGAGTTTATGACTAAAATTTCTTGAACGTCTTTAGATTTTCTGTTTGTGATCTGCGGAAATATGTGTGTGATCCTGCAGTTTGAGCTGATCACCATCAAAAAATCTAAGCAGTCTGTGCACCTGTGTTCCCAGTTTACATTTATGGGTCTTCACTGTGTACATCTGTCCATCATTTGTATTGATTATGACACTGGAGTTTACTCAGAGGAAAAGTCTTATTGACTTCTGATTGCAGGTTGATTTGCAGGAGCTTCATCATGCTTTCGAGTCTCATGATTCATTTCTCTGTTCTGCTGCACAGACGCCATCTTATCCATACTTGCGTGGGGTTCGACCATCTCAGGTGTCTAACTCTGACTCATCACTCCTCCTGCCCTGTGATTGGTTTTCCTCCTCCCATCACTGATCCTAACACTCCCCTCTCACTGGTGTTGGATTGTTCTGACACACATTTGATTTTTGTTTTTGAGATTTGAATGGTCCTTTATGGAAGGTCATTGATGGCAAAATTAACGAGCCAGCACAAAACAAATTCAAGCTGGAATCACAAACAGGTGTATCAGTGTACAAACCCAACTTACCCTAACTCTATCCCACCTTTAAAGGTCACATGTTGTGCCATTTTTCAGCAATTAACTAAAGTATCACATCACTCTAGAATGTGTCTTTCGAATTTTTAGCTCAAAATACCACAAACACGATGTGGTGTCTGGGATTGATAGCGCTGAGCAACAGTTGACCCCAAAGCATCTCACACAGACATGAATGAGACCAGGACTCTGTATCACTTATGACGTTCTCTCTGAGTGATCATTTTTTATGGAGTGCCTCTGAATTCACATCACAGTTTGTTTGTTTTTTTTAACTCATGTGTTTAGTGATTTTGTTAGACGATGTTGCAGCAATAAATCTGTTTGTTCAGAGGTGCAGAGCAGTAAAATGTAACTGGTCTGAAGTGGCTGCTGGTTGACATGTAGTCTTCATGAGCTGCACTTCAGTTATTATTTTTGACGTAGTTTTGGTTCCAGATGCATGACAAATGTCCCTTCGTTTTATATTTAAAAGAAAATCTTCACCTAAACCAAATGGCCTGGGGTCCAAAAGAGTCCAACTGTCCTGAATAGGGTTAAGGCAACATGAAAACACAGTAACCCACCCAGTCCATGTGTTTTGGTTTCAGCTCCATCTTGAAGTTTCCAGCATCTCGAAAAGTTCTTCAGCTCAACAGTTTCCACAGAACTCTAACCTGTTTGCATACAATCAAAACTAACGTTACCAACATCAGCCTCATAACATGCTAGCACTAGGGATTTTCCTGTTGCTGTGGCGACACTGCCATCAAAAATAGAAGTCATTCACTAGATCTTTAGTTCCTCAGATGTTGGAAGTGCACAAAGACTCGTGTTCACTCTTGCAGCCAACAGCAGAACATTTGATGTGTTTTGCTTGTGGCATTTAATGTTAACAGAAGCAGCTCTAGAAGTAAATAAAATGTGACTTAGTTCACCTATAATCATTCTAACTCTGTCCTACTCTGCTGTACATGACTCTGCTATAACTGACCTACCCTACTTTACTTGAGCCAGACCTGCTGAAAACTACCCAAACTAACTCTACCTTAACATACCCAACCCAATCCTACCCAGTTCATCTTTGCCTGCCCTTTGCCCTGATCTAACCCTACCTGGCATCCTCTGCTCTGTGTAACAAACTGTTCTCAGGCCAGTTTTGCTCCACTCCGTTCTACCCAACCTACCACACCCTGTCACATCAGTTAAGACCCAGCACCAGCTATCAATACAATTAGATTTATGGGTCACTGTCTTCTACTCAGCCAGTCAGGAAACATTTATCATGTAGTTTATTTGTAAGGTCTTCGCCTCACTATGTGAAGTGCTGTGAGATGACATATGATGTGAAGCGGCGCTATATGAATAAAACCAAATTGAATTGAATTGGAAATAGGATATTAAGTGTCCCTGAAATGACCCTAAAATGACCCTAATCTGTCCCCACTCAGGTTCCAGCTCAGATTTGTTTTCAGTTCATTCAGGAGTTTTGCTGTTGATGAGCTTCCGTTGGCCTCCACTGTTAATGAACTGGTTTTGCTGGTTTTGGGACAGTTCATGGAGCTGTGGCTGGTGACCAGTTGGGTTCTCCTGCACCCCCACGTCTCCCTGTTGTTGTTAACGGGCTGTATCCCAGCAGTACTAAAATTCACTGCATACACTGTTGCCCTCCACCATTGCAGCTGCATGTTGACTTGGTGCATGCGTTCACAGAGCACCGCCATCACTGACCGGCTGCTCGCTGGTTTGATGATGAATATTTAGTGGTTGGATCACCGGAGCCAGACTTCCTCTATTCTCTTTCCAGCTGGTCCAACATATCCCTGAGGCCAGTTTAAACTACCAGAAGGTTCCTCCAGGTTCTACTGCTGTCTCGGACCTGGACGCAAATATGAATGAGCCAGACCCCAGTTCTAAGCAACGGCGTCCGTGGAACCGCGAAGAGGTCACTGTCTAATCCCACTGAGGCTACGTTCCCACTGCAGCTCAGTGTGTCTGAATCCGAGGTTTACACAAGAGAACTTCAGAGCCTGTGAACAGATTTTTAATATGTTATTCATTATTAATTGTACATAATTTGTTTAGCCCACAAATCTCCTAACCAACAAGTCTTAAAATGTAAATTGGACAGTTAGTCTGAAATGTGCGCTTTAAAATTAATGCATTTAATGAGTTACTAAAATTTGATTTAAGAAATATGAAACTGTTCTACAACATCATAACTTGAACATTTTAATTTCATCAAAGTTAAGCTTCATGATGTAAAAAGACTAGTTCAATGATTAATCAATATACGAAGAAGGAATTATACATTCCACCCCATCTTACCTGATCAGGAAGCTCCGTGTTTTAGTAGCGCTGACGACAATATTCTACCTACTAGCCAAGCAAATATAAACTCCACTTCAGCATGTTTCCAGCACCTCATCTTTCTTTGCCCTGATGATGAATTTCGCCTCTTTCTGCTCTGATGAGGCACAAACAGCGCCCCTTAGGGGCTGCATTGTTCATTACAGCCAGAGGTTAAATTAGGCCGGAGCCCACTAGAGAAGAGCTCAGCCTCCTGGTATCCAAATCTGCTGGAGCTCAGCTCCATCTCGTCAGTTTAACAGTATAGTATGGATCTTAAATTCTGCTTTCAGACTCTCTTGCACTGAACCTAAAATGTTCTCTTCTTTAAATGTATTAAACAGCTACAGCGTCACAGCAGCAGGGTCCATTGGCTGTGGGCCTTTTATGGATGTGAAGCAGCCGCTGTAATTTATTAACTGTTTACGTCTCCTGATGATGAAGATCTGTGAAGCTAGACCAAAGAGCAACAAGTCATTATGTAAAAAACGATGAACTCAAACTGAGCTGACATGTGAACGTAGCCACATCTCAACAGTTCACTATGAACCTTAACATGACTGCGACTGCTGCAGTTAGTTTTGGTGTGCTGGGAAATAAACTGCTGTTCATGTCAGTGCTGATGTTGACGCCACATAAGCAGCTGCTGCTTTGGGTTCATCTTGTTCCTTCTGTGCCTCTGAACAAACTCTTTCAGGTGATTCTGGACAACCTGATGCTGAATCCAGTGTCTCAGCTCTCTCAGGCCATCCGGGAGAACACCGAGCAGCTGGCTGAGAAAATGAAGTAAGGAAGCTCCGTACTCTTCAACTGCACCAGCAAATGTAGTCACTGCGTTTACTCCATCCTGTTATTTCAAGGTTTAGTCAAACTTGAGGAGTATTAAGGATGTTTAGGAGGTTCTTTTCCAACATTTAAAGTGAGATGTGCAGCACAGAATGTTTGATAGAGGACAATAGAGCTGATGCTGCAGGGAGCTGCAACAAAGAGTTTCTTGTCCAGTTTTCATCGTATTTTTGGTTTAGGTCCATCTAAGCGCCATGCTTTGTTCAGCAAAGGCTCCTTTGTTTCAGGAACAGTTTTTGGACTCGTGTGTTGTTGTTCACTTTCTGACCTGGCAGTGTGTTTGTCTCAGGGTTTTGTTCCAGAACAAAGCAGAAGTCTGGGAGGAGATCGAGGCAAAGATCAACGCTGAGAATGAAGTCCCCATCCTGAAAACCTCCAACAAGGTTCCTCTGCACATTTATTAGTTATTCAAAATGACAGCAACTGAGCACGAGCATCTGACAACATCTGAAAACTTCTGTCCTAATTACTGTTGTATTGTTTCAGGAAATTACCTCCATTTTGAAAGAACTGAGAAGAGTTCAGAGGCAGCTTGAAGGTAAATCCATTTTTAAATTGACATGTTTTGTCCTGTTTACGTTCATGAATCTTCACTTTTGTACATTGCTCAATTTCATCTGGTCAGTGTAGCAGCAGCACAGAGACCATAGAGGTTACCCAACATATTTGATGCCAAGACAGTCTAAAAGAGTCAAATCATTCTTTTTTTTTTTTAGTTGAACAGTATTAAAAGCTCACTCTGAGATGGTACAGAACAGTTACCAGTGTGTGTGTGTGTGGAGCATCCAAACTAACACTCCAACAAATATTAACTGATAAGAACTGAATCCTGTCGTAAATCTTGATTTTAAATGTTCACGCTGCACACAATGTGTTCTGTTGATGGAACAGTCCACAGTTTCCTCTTTGTCTTATCGCTGTACTTGACTTCTGAGATTTTGAGTAACAGCAACCACCAAATCATAAAATGGCACAAATAAAAATTGAACATAGCTATTGTATGACCGTTGTGAATCCTGCTGTTCTTGTTGCAGTTATAAACACCATCGTGGAGCCTGGTGGGAGTCTTCAGACTGCAGCCGTCGGGACGTCGTCTCACGGTCAGACTCGACCGTCCTCGAGAGAGAAGAAACCCGCCACCAAACCCCGCGGTGCCACCTCGACCTCCAACGCCAATGAAAGCACCAAACGACCACCTCGTGGCCCCGACGGGGGCCACTACATGGCCTGAACAGGTCACCGTAGCACCTTTGGATAGTAACTGTGCATCCACACTGCCAGCAGCCTCTGTCGAAGGACCTGATGGTTACTGACTGTAGCACCCAGATCAGCTCAGCAGCTCTGAGCCACAACTCAACACTGAGGTTTATTGTGCAGTTGGGATAGAAGGTCACATCGTCTAAGGTTGGTCACGTAGGTTGGTCAGCAGGCCTTTTTATAGTAACTCATCACCTGACAAATTGTGTCCAGTTTTGGGAGCTGTCTCTTTAAAAGTTCATATTCAATGCTGAATTTGTCACTCAGAGATGTGTGATCAAGGGACTAGGTTTATATTTATCTTTAGTCAGTGTCCCACAATTCATTGCGCTCTGGTCTTTTCGGTGACTTTGTAATGCTGCTGTGTAGAGGCCTCAGGCCGTATGATAGGATGACTTTCTCTATTTTGATCTCACTGACACGCCGTAGAAGAAGCGTTGTCAACACAGCTGTTGTCTGTGTGCTTAAATTTGTTTGTCACCAAATTGAACTCAAAACAAAACATCCATTCGCTTGTGTGTCACCTCAGAAAGTGAGTTGATTTCACTCCAGCATTTCAAACTGCTGCGAATACGACCAGAGCAGTTCTTCTGTTTCCTTTGTGCATTGCATTGTGGGACAATACTCGGCTTCAGCAAGTCAAATCCACTTTTTTAGTCAGCATCCTCTCTGCACAATGTTGTATGTAGTCAGTTTCAACATCTGAGATCACATTTGTAAAATGTCATCCAGTCCTTTTGTACATTTACAGCCTCTAAAAGCCCTAAAAGGCGACACAGAGGTTGGTTGTAATCATTGGTAGTACTCATACTGGCAGTAACATGCAGGTAGTTTCTGGAGAGACCTGCTGCTGCTGCTGGTGGTGTGGATGCCCTGAAACTGTCCAGAACAAAAGCTCTCATTTGTATCCAGTGATTCAGTCAGTAAGAACAAATGCATTTTGAGTCCGTAGAACTGCTTCCACATCGCACAAGCTGAACAAAAATTAGTCAAAGCTACAAAAAGAAGCGGCTGCTCGCACCACAGTAGTACTTGGATGATGTACAAAAGTATAACGATAACCTTCGTGCTTTGATAATCTGTTGTTGCGTTGCATTTGAACAGATGATAGATTGTGTGTTTTGCGAAGTTCGTCTCAGTTTTTTTGTCTGTATTTATGAAGAGAGAGTCGTAGCTTTGTGCCCATCAGAAGGTCTGCGCTGCCTCGACGCCTCGGCCTTACAGGCAGCATACAGCGGTCTGAACACGTCTGTGAAAGTAAAAAAGATATAATGGTCTATTTTATTGAATGTTTCTGAGCTCTGTTGCCTGTCCTGTGACCGTCAGGCTCATTTATTTTTGCCATCTCGCTGTGATTGTGCGTTAACTGTGAAGCTGCTTCAGGTTCGTTGTCGCTGAATGTTGCGAGTGCTGAATGTCGGAGAGTTTGGGGAAATTTCTGTTCATCTCAAACAAATCAGCATAACTTTAAACCAAACAGATGATCTAACCTGAGACGTCCTGCTGGTCCTTACACACATCACCTTTCTAACAACGACAAATGACTCCCAAGAAACACGACAATCTGCTCGGTGACTGCTGAAATAGTGAAACGAGTCAGTTTTGTTTTGATTTGTTGAGGATTTGTAAAACTCTACCCAAGCTGTCCTTCAAGGTCAATTTGTCAATTGTTATTAACTTTAAAACCTGAACTTGTTTTTTTAAAAAAGACATTTTAGAAATGGAAATAGTGATACACTTTAAGCCACAAAATGACAAGTGTTTAAATACTGGTGTTTCGTCAGTTACTGGCTGAATAGAATTCACTAAAGAATCAGAAACTGCAAAGGTTCTTTGGAAAATATGATTCAGTGTCTTTATGAGATGAAGATTCTCTAGTTATGAGATAAATATCTCGTATTTTCTTCTAGTTATGAAATGAGGATCCTGTAAGAATGAGCTGCAAAAGTCATAGCTATTTTAAGAAATATCTACAGTTTTATTGTCGCACAAATGTAACAAAGCTGCAGTTGTGTTCAAGAACAACAACCATCCATTGTACAGAGACGTAGTGACAAATGGCCAACGGAGTCGACCCCAGTTTCTTTGAGTTTGAAGTGATGTTGGTCCAGAAGACAGAAACCAGGCTGTTATAAAACATGAAATGAATTCATTACACCCTTATTTTTGTCTCTCTGAACTCTATGTACATTTTAGAGGTTCCTGTATGATTTTACACATTCACACACGATACAGTTGTGATTCTGTGTCACCCACAAGTCGGTATTTTAGTGCCTAAAACCTGACTTATATCAAAAGGTGACACAGCATTTATCGTTGGTGCCATTAAAATGGACTGTGTGAAAAGCTAGGAGTTTATAGCATTAGTTATGTATAGTTAGATCACTTTCCAAAGCCAACAACACATGTCCACACTCCTTATCTAGATTGTTTTTGACCTCTGAATTTCTTGTAAAAACCTTCCTCTATGAACCTCCTTTAAATCAGTTTTAGAAAAGTGCTATATGAAGAAAGTATTTAGACTTCTACGTTGTTGGACCACCGGCGACTCGGAGAGAGTTGGAAGATGAAGTGAAGTACCTGTGTAGAGTGTATGTGTGTGTGTTTTTGTATGTCTGTGTGCTGCTGATTGTGCTGTTGTCGCTGTGTGTTGAGCTGAAGTTTGTGTTTTTCTTGCTTTGTGTGTTAAAGCAGCTGAGACCTCTGAGTGGAGAGTGCTGTACAGATAGGAGTATGGTGACAGAACAGGAACTGACTCGCTGACAAAGATCGGATTATCCTAGCTTAGCACAAACAATTAAAGCAGGAAGAAACTGTTGGCATGGCTACATCAAAAAACAATGACCTTTCAACTGCGCTCATTCTGTCTGATTCACATGTTGTATGTTGTTTATTAATTGGATGATATCATGTCTAATTTTCTTGATCTGAACAAAACTCTGTGTAGAACTTCCAGTAGAAAGTTGCTGTTTTAAGTTGTCATCACTGAAGTAATTTGCACACTCTACTTACACACAGATCACAAATGATGTCAGCATCTCATTTCCCGAATGACTGCCATGCGCAAACTACAGATGCATAGCCATACCAGGAAAGGAATCACAAAAACATTCTCTTTATGACAAAATGTAGGTGAGCATCAGAGGACCCAGGATCAAACCCTGTGGAACTCCACAGATGAAGTACTGACTTATGTGTCATCTTGTTCAGCTAACTGCTGCTGGTTTACCCTTCCTGTTTCATGGCGTTCAGTAAATACCACACAGCATGTAGACCAGACAGATGGGGAGTTGTTAAAAGGTGGCTTCTTTTTTTACCTTCAGAGAGCTGGAGTAGAAGTTTTCCTCTGCCTTCAGTCTTTGCGCTGAGCTAGGCTACCTACATCCTGGACATCAGAGATCAGTTTGAATTTGGAAAGGACTGACTGCAGGCAGGTTTAACTGAACTGTTGATGTAAAGTGTTTGGTTGAAGGGACAGGATGTTTTCTTTTGTAAAGTGCATGTTTCCTGTAGCTTGAGGCAGGTGAGAGTTTGAGGCTAGTTCACCAAATGTGCACTTTTTCATTTAACAAACACCTTGTGAAAACAGGTGGAGCTGAGACTCTTATGGCTTCTATTTGTTTGGTCATGATGTTTTTGTGCTCTGCAGCCATTCAGAATGTATTGATTTATCACCTGCCCACAACACAAACCTGATTGGCCATTGCTGTGATGATGTAACTGCTGCTGCTACAGGTGATTGGTCATTTGGGCTAGCTGCATTTTGTGTTTTTGTTACAGTGCATGCAACTCTGAACCAAACAAGCTGTAGAAACAGGCTGAATAGACGAAGCAAACCAAACATTTACTCTGTAAGTGTCCTGTTATTAGAACCCTTTTTTATGCATTTGATCATATGAAGGTCAGTCGACCGCCGTGTTTCTAATGGAATTAACCTTCCTGATTATTTATTAAGTTGAAATGATTTACAGATATCTGAACTCTCATGTGTTCATCATCAACAGGATTTCTTTGTATCATCATGTCATTTGTAATAAACAGATTTCATGCACTCTGTGGTTGAAATTTGACTTTTTTCATCTACTTGACCTGTTGTTGTCTTTGACAAGAAGCGTCTTTCATCAGTAAAGTTTTGTCTTTGTCAGTAATATTATCTGACATGAAGAAATACATTTGTGCAATAAATACATCTGCAATTTACTGAGAATAGACAAGATTCAGGAACAAACCTTCTGAGACAAACTGAAAACCCTGCAGGCAGCAGCCGACATTTATGATGCACCATTATCAGCATGAATTTGTCTTTCAGTCGTTCGTGTTGCTGTCAGAAGGAACGCATCAGTTCAGGATTAATGATGACAGTCAACCATCTGAATCCTAAGAAGAAGTTATCACTGATGTTCTCCAACCATTTGACTTCCTTTAACATTAACAGACAGTTCACAGGATTTTCCTCCATCAGCTTCAGTGTGTTGTATCGCTGCAGAGCAGAAGGGCACCCAGCTTCTTCACGGTTGGTAAGTTCTTCCCTTTGCTATTTCCCTTGATATTCAAATGACTTAAAATCCTTACAGTAATTGGACCATGTCTCAGTTGAACAGTAGGTTATTTCCTGAATACAAATCAACAATTTCCGTTTACTATATTAAAAACACAGGTTGGAATACGATAGGAACTCAATGCAACAGAAGAAGATTCAAATCTTTACTTTTTCCAACACTGCATATGCCTTTAACTTTAATTTGAGGACAGACTCAATCCCTCTGCATGGAGGACGCCAAATTTCAGTTCTTCATGTTCTCTCATTTGTCAGATTTTTTGTTTTCTGTGGCTCAGTAGGACAGCCACATACATTACTTCTGCAAGAGTGTTTTGACTGATTTACAGTTGATCCTTTTTCATCTTTGTAAGGTTATACAATTAGTCTTTTTCTTTCCTCTGACAATTCTTTTCCACATGAAGCCCTGATGTTCA